TCTTGCTTGCTTGCTTGCTTGCTTGCTTGCTTTCTTGCTTGCTTTCTTGCTTGCTTTCTTGCTTTCTTGCTTCCTTCCTTCCTTCCTTCCTTTTTTTTTTTTTTTTTTTTTCAAACAACCGGGGCGGTGCTAGAGGTGCTTCCTTCCTTCCTTCCTTCTTCTTCTTCTTCTTCTTCTTTGGGTGAAAACATCTGCGTATGCATCCTGCACTGAATTCAAAATGAGGTTGCAAAATTTCATAAAACAATTCATAAAACGACTGTGTCGCAGGACGGTGTGTAGCCCGTAACGGCGTAACCTTATTCCATCACGATTCGAACTCATGACCTGTTTACTAAACCACCAGTAGCTCCGAACCTCTTTTCCCCAAACCGGATTGCTGCTGCGCGCTAAAAATAAAAAGAATGGAACCAACGCGGGCAMAAAAAAAAAAAAGAAATTCCTTTTGCCTCGTTCTGCCAGCGATTTTCGGCCGGTAGGCCGAGCCCCTGTTAACACGGCGGGTTTACTGCCAAATCGGAATGAAACAGTTGGGAAAAGGACTGGTGGGGTTTCACAGTTACAGACCCCTTAATGGATCTGTCTCCATAATAGTCCAGATACATTCTGGGGGGCAGAAGTCCGCTTCCTTTCCACCGGAAAATCTTTCAGAAGTACATAGGATGATGACACGCCCATGCTTCCATCCGTCAAACTGCTGCCAGTACGTTGCCCAGCCATTTTTTCGAAGTCGCGGCTTGCATGCTGCTACAGCTTGCGGGGCTCGGCCACCGGAGCAAAACGGTTTGGCGGCGCCAGCAAAATGGAGGCCCGTGCCTGTTTGTCTTTTTTAGGCGAGCAGCGCGTTTCGCGTTTCCAGCCCCAGAGAAAAAGAAGTGCCTCGGAAGTACTGGGGGTTCGAAGGACCCTTGAGGCTTGAACATCATTGATTGCTCCCTGAGGGGGAAGGGGGTTGGCCATGACCATCAGATTGCCTTTTTCCTTCTTGGATTTCTCTCAGTCTCAGCTCCGGTGAGGATGACAGCTTGGCGCAATTACCAAGAAGTTCAGCGAGAACATCTGAAGGTCCAGGCTGCACGGTATGGACGGGGTGCTTCTGTTATTGTTTAACATGTCGTGCCATTCTCTTGTTGCTTCCCAAAACTCAAGTTTGTCTGACCCGTCGCTGTTCCCTTCTGCCACAGACACAATGCCGCGTTTTCCTTTTTTTTTTTTTTTTTTTTTT